GATAAGTGGATAAAAAAGCTGTGGTACATTTGTACAATGGAATACTATGCAGCTGTACAAAAGAGAGATCTCTTACCCTTTGAGATGACATGGAGAAACCTGGAGAGTATTATGCTAAGCAAAATAAGCCAGTCAGAGAAAGACAAGTCCACATGATTTCACTTATTGGTGGAAGACAAGGAACAAAATAAGCTGTAGATGAAAAGAGATCCAGAGGCATGGAAGTAGGGAACAGACTAACAAACCTCAGAGAGATGAGGGGTGGGAGGGGTGGGAAGAGACAAATCAAAGAACTTATATTCATATATGCACAACGAATGGATATAGACATTAGGTTGGGGAAAGCAGGAGGCAGGTGGGAGCAGGAAGGAGGGGGACAAAGGGGGAAATAGGGGGGCATCTGTAATACTTTCAACAATAAAATAAATGCTCTTCAACTAGAAAAGTTCATTACCAACCTTGGCACCATTACTCCTCTATTAAAAATGTTAAAAAGATTCCACAATAATATATCATGCTCATCTTCTACCTTACACATAAAAACAAACAAAAAAACACAACTATTTAACAATAAGCAGTTTAGTGACCCTGACTTTTCAGAATTTCCTGAATCATCTGAATTAAAGCCATAAAATGAAATAAGCACTGCTAAGAGATTACCCCTAATTAACATATAGGAGATGGAGAACTGGGGGAGGAGGGATCTACTACTATGGAAATACACAGACAGAAGTTCCCTTCTCTGCTATGCTTCAAACAGCCACATATGTGACCCTGAACAGGTACTTAATTTTTGTCTCCACTTACTCATCTGCAGTATAGGAATAAGTTTACCACATCAAGTTGTTCTAAGGACCAAATATACATAAAATAATTTTCAAAACAATAAAGCAACATACAAAGGTATGTTAACCTTTGATATAAACATCTTCAGGTTTTAAATGAATGTTTCTATTTATCTTTCTTTTTATGTCTCTGCCACTCTTTATATTACCTAGATCCAAAGATCTGCCAGTACAGGAAAGATGCAATTCCCACCTATAGTCATGTAAACACAGTAAGCCCTCAGTAAATATCTGTTGAAAAAGATGTTCATCCCCATATAATCAAAATTTTAGATTCTGCTATATGCAATACTTTATCCTTACCTTTTAAAGTTTAAGCAACAGGTTCCTTCAAAATAAAATAACAAAGGACATAACACACCTAAAAGATGCCTGTGTTTTGCCAGGAATATCCTTTGTGTACATTATCCACCATGAATGTGAATATCTATCTATGTGAATACACCCAAGGAATGTGCTTCAGTATTTTGGTTTCACTGGAAACCTACTTTCTGCATAGAAAAGGACTTCCCTTTCTTTAACACTAGAGTACGATTTCTAAAGATGCCAGATTTGTTCTTCCGGTTTTACTTCCCAGGCTTCAGTACTCAGAAGGAGAACTTTTGGTGGACTTGTGGTAATTTTTCAAACCATTATGTCATTCTTACAATACTCAATAAGAAAAAAGTTTATTTTTGAAAACTATAAATAGAAAGATAGTCTAATACTTACATGTTAAGATTAACAGTCCACCACATTTGTCAAATAAAAGTATAACTATTTTTAAATGCAAGCATTCTGGTTCCTCTGAACACTCTACAATGCCTCAAAAATAAAATTTAAGCTTATTTAACTTTGGTTATAAGTCCCTGATTATCTACACATGCACCAGCGAGCGCACACGCACACGCACACGCATACACACACACACACACACGTGTCTTACAGATCATCCATTAATAATTTATATTAAGCTCTTGGATGATGGTTTTGTACTTACAGTTGAATATCCTTGCAGTACTGAGATACAGTTGAGTATCCTTAAGATGTAAAATTCTTAATAGTTCAAACCAAATAATGAAACACCTGTAAAATAGTCACCCAGCTCAGCTTTCCTATCATTTTTCTTCCTATCATTTATCCAACTACATTCTACTGCTAAAATGACTCCTACTTTGTTACAAAAGATGTACCTTGTGAGCTCATTTCTGGCCTTTATATCTATTACAGTTCAAGGAACATTCCTCAAATAAGCACAGGCCATACAAAAACAAATCTGTTCAAATAGTACAGGTGATAACTTAATCATAATCTGAAAACAAGTCTCCCCCCACCCCAGGATTAGAGAATTATGTAACATTTAAAAGACAGTTAACTGCATTCATGGGCAACAATCTGTCTAATTTGAGGATAATTTTTAAGTTCTCTCCTAACCAGTAACATAATACTATTTGTTTTAGCTACAATGAAAAGCAGTGTTACATTACAGCCTAATTCTAGCTCCCATAAACCAATCAAAATAAAAAGTGCACAATATGTATAATATTCTGGAATTTATACCAGACATGATAAAGCAATATCATATCACTGTTCAAGGCTGTCATCTTAAGAATGAAGAAACAGATGCAGGATTCAAAATTAGTTTCAGACCACATTCATGGCTTAGCTCATCCTCACCTCTTGTGTGCCTTCTTCAAACCTCAAGCTGTATTCTTTAACACTATCAGTTCTGCAGGTTTATTTGAACAGTCTACCAAATGAACTGAGATCAAAGCTGTCTGTGGGAAAGGACAGGGGGTTTCAAGGTCAGAAGTCTTGGGTATGAATCCAGACTTCATTCTTCTGGAGCTTCGTGACCTTAAGCAAAAATATTTTTAAGATTTTTTAAAGTGATTTTAAGAGAGAGAAAGGATGAGGGAGAGAGAGAGAGAAACATGGATGTGAGAGTGAAACATTGATCAGCTGCCTCCTGCACGCCCTACTGGGGATCAAGCCTGCAAAACGGGCGTTTGCCCTGACCGGGAATGGAACCAGCAATCCTTCGGTGCACCTGACGATGCCCAACCACCTGAACCACACCAGCCAGGAGCAAATATTTAAATATTTAGAGATAAGCCTAAATTTCTTCATGTGTAAAAGGACAAGACTACCAACCTTGAGTTATTTTGTAGATCAAGACCCTCAGCTAGTGCTCTGATTATAGCAGATGCCTAATAAACGGGCGACAGTCTTAATACTACTAAAGGACCAGTTCACAAATGATGAAGTATCTCATTAAGGGGATCACTATTAAATTGTATGAAATGTATTAACACTGTAATACTTTTTTCAACCTTTTATTTCAAATGTTTTAATATATAAAAATGAAAAATTCACAAAGGTTGGAAATCTTTTTAAGACTGACATTTTACATATCAAAGATAGAGCTTCATTTATCAACAGACAGTGAAAATTGTTTAATTTTTTTAAATATTTCAGGTACTCTCGTGGTCAAATATTTTAAAACTTTCTGAAGAAAGTTGTATTTTAGAACCTAGAGACAGCCCAGTTATCTAAACAATGGGCTACATGATACACCACAGTCTCCAGACAAAGTCACAACAGGATGAGAAAAGAACCTTCGGCCTCTCTCAGATTTCCTGGCCACTGTTATTTTAAAACTTGATCACGTAAACATAAACAGAGGAAAAAATCCATTTCAGATAAGCCCCATGGGTTATGATTTATGATCTCTGTTTTTAATACCTGGTTTACATTAAATATTGCAATAGCTTATTACATTTTTCATACTCATGTGTAAAACTAATGAAAAACATATTTATGTTATATATAAGTTGTATATATTATATACTTAGAGTTTTTAATCATGATAATCTTTTCTTAAAGATGTTCACCACTTTTGTTACTACCTTTTAAAATTAGTTTTTTCAAACAAAAATGTAATGCAAAAAGCTGGAAGAACAATAAATGGCATGTCACATAGAACATACAAGTACAACTGGCAAATCTGCATAAGACTAAAATGACTTGTCTACCACTGTGCATGTAATTCCTGCGCAACTGAAAATACTCAAAATGAGTTGGATATTTACAAGTCAATGAGTTATTTTGAAGAGTTGCATTGTTTCAAGCTCTGGCTATAGCTCAATTTGTGGTGTTTCTACAGTGAATGATAAAAGACACCAAGGTAATTTTTTCACTAAACAATTTCCCATTAGAAAACCACAAGACATCTATGAAGTTTAGTTAATTTGTACAGAAATGCGGTTTGACTGCCAACCTTTGTACCATGACCATTACCAGCCCAAGTTCAAGATTCACATTTCACAGTGTGAACAGTGTCAGCTAAACCTTAAGAATTTTATTTTTTAAAACTCTCAAACCCTGACTATATTTAGATATACTGCATCTGCACCACCGGAGCGTATCAGCAAATGAAACCTGAATTTAGCACGTACACCAGTCTGTTAAGCGGGGGCAGTGTTTCTAGTTCCTCGCTAATACCTGTAAATTCTAATTGAAGCATTCCTCCACCACAAACTTGATGCGGGGTAAAATGGAACGTGTCTCTGAAACTGAGTGGAAATATTCCTGACACAAATATTCTAGAAATAACCCTATCAAATGATTTCCTACTTCAAAAACCCCAGAAGAATTGAGCATTTTAATTGTCCTAAGGAGTTTTTGTCAATTAACAAATAGAGAAGGCTACTGTTAGGTAGCACACACACATTAACATACTCAAAGTATTGGTCCGTCTCAAGACTAAAAATACAGATCCAGACAGTCCCAGCCTGGTCTCCTACATGATTAAACTTAGCCGATCCTCACATCCCAGGACAAATGGCACTTTTCCGGCACCGAATTTAAAGCTTGTTGACGAAAGACAAAGCTATCACGGAGTCCAAGTCGGACACCTGAGTGCTCCGCGTCCACCCGGGAGCGGAGAAGACACACAAAGGTACCTTGGCGATGATAAAGCCGTGAAAGGAGACTCATTGTCCGGGGGAAACGAGAACCAGCCCTGCGCTCCCGTGAGCCGCCGCCGCCCGGGCCCACCCATCACCTGCTTCAGCCATTCGAGTCCTCGGGAGGTGAACCGAGCCGTGGGCTACCGGCGGCCCGAGGGAGGCCTCGAAGCAGGGCCAGGGGAAGCAGGGACTCCGGGGCACTCACCTGTGAGGACACGAAGGCAGGTGCGCGGCGGCGAGGCTACCTGTCGCCGCCGAGGCTGGAGGGCGTGGTGAGAGCTGACGAGGTGAGGGAAGAGGGCGATGACGCGGCCGAGCTCAGGCACCGGGCGAAGGCGGAGATCAGGCTGCTGCTCGCTTCCTGCTCGGACAGATCCCGGGTCCGTCTCCGCCCGCCGGCCGGCGCTCCACCGAGTCCCCCCGCAGCGCGCACGTCACTGCTACGGAGCGCCCGAGGGGGCGGGGGCGCCGCGGGCCGGGGCGGGACGGCGGGGCGCGCCGGGGCGCAGACCGCGCTCCGGGAGGGGACGCTCGGCGCCCGGGGCCGCCCCGCCCCTCCGCTCGCCCCGCACGGCGGCTCCGGGCTGGGGTGGGCGCTGCGGCGCGAGGAGGGCCCCGCTGGCCTAGCCCGAGAGCTCGTGCCTCCCCCTGCGAAATGGCCTCAGCGGTTGCTGAGCAAGTCCTCTCCGAACTGGATACGGTGCCTGTGCAGCCCGGCCACGGGCAGAATCAGTTTGGGGGGAGACGCTGTTCAGCGAGGGGACGAGGACCCCGAGTTGTTAAGGAGGGCGGGCCGAAGCGAGGCGGGGTTGTCGGCGAGGGAAGAACCACGCCAACTCGGCTGCTGTCCAAGCTGGCTCGGGCTGGGCTGCCCTGTGAAGGGAGTAACCTTCCTGCGCAACAAACTTGAGACTCTGCTTTGGGGAGCAGGGGGTCTGAGATGAAAATGTTGTGTTTCTTTGGCCTCCGCCGCCCTCCGTTTACTTATAAAGCCCGATCTTCTCTGTCGTTTAAATTTTATTGTTTCTGTAAATGACATACCTGTGAGTCATACTTGAAAATTAAATATTGAAGTAGCTGTGCATTGGAACGGTATGATGAATGTGTACATTGCCTTTACGATGAAAAGAAGCTTCTTTTAAGAAATGAAATGGTAATTTACTATAATGCTAACTGTCTCCGCTGAAAAAAAGCTAGAGTTACCTACAAATGAGAATTACACTTTTTCCCGCAACTTTTCCGAGTAGCAACTGGAAAATTTTAGGATATCTACAAGATTCTGATAAGAGACAAGTTTCAGAGATTAAGACGTTCCAGTTCTGTTGGTAGAAAAGTTATGATGAGATACTGTAGCACACAACTGAAACAGTAAAACATTAACCAAATAGGGAAGTAAGAAAGAGGAAGAGAAGCCACTAAAGGAAATAATTTACAGCAATCTCAGAAATGTAATTCCAGATTACCAGGATAGGTAACTCTTAAATATACAAAATTAGATTTTAAAACAAATTCGGGGAGAAAAAAGAGAAAAGAACGAGGAGAGGATCGTTTCAGTTTACTGCTTTGACTTCATTTTGGATGTAAGATTGCAAGGCTTTGCCAGACCAATAGAAGAAGCCTGTACAGTTTGTTGTGAGAAATGACGTGTGATTTTTTTCTTCTCTTTCTTTTGTCCCCACTTTCAACCCATTACTGAGCCCCTTTGCTTCTTGTCCCAGACCTCTTTAATGTATCCAATTCCTCTTTATAGCCACCACCACTGTCTAATTTCAGGCCACCATCATTTCAGGTCTTGCATCGTGTTTTTAGCATACCTAACCAAATCTAGGTTTTCCAGATTTGACCACTTCTAGTCCAGACTCCACAGTGCCACCAGGTTTATGTTTTATAAAATAAAAGTCTGTACATTATGTACTCCTCTTTTTAAATTCCTATACTGGCACTCCACTACCCTTAGCATAAAGTCTAAACTCCTTAAGATGTCTTACATGATCCTCTGTTTTTGTTTGGTTAGCAGAGTAGGGATCTCTTGTTAAAATGCAATTAAATTTGAATGCCCTTTGATTGTTCCCCTCTGTCACTGCCCTAAACCCCATAAAGCTGTCCTAACCAAGCTTCTTCACACAATCTGATTTATCTTTAAAATTGCTTACATTTTGCCCTGGCCGGTTTGGGTCAGTGGTTAGAGCATCAGCCTGCGGTCCAGAGGATACCCAGGTTCGGTTCCCGCTAAGGGCACGTACCTTGGTTGCAGTTTGTCCCCGGCCCTGGTTGGGTCGTGCAGGTGGCAACCACTCCATGTGTCCCTTTCACTTCATGTTTCTCTCTCTTTCTCTCCCTTCCACTCTATCTGAACAAAAAAAATGGAAAAATGTCCTCAGGTGAGGATTAAAAAATAAATAAAATAAAATTGCTTACATTTTGAATCACTTCCTTAGCCTTGCTTACTCCACTCTCATTTCCACCCACTGCCCTTCTTATTTCTTGCACTTTACATTCAAGCCATTCTGAAGTGCATGAATTATCATTATTACATTGGAGTGTTACCAGGTTAAATCCAATTAATCCTTCAGAACAAGAAGTTATCCCCAACTCCCTTATTCCAAAACTTGGTGCAATTTGGTGCTCTTTCCCATGTCTCTCTTAGCACCCATTGCAGATATCTCTTCCAACACTTACTTCATATTGTTACTGTAGTTTACTTATAGTATCCTCCAAATGGACTACAAGCTTCTTGAGGGCAGAGTAGGGAACTTGTTTATATCTTTGTGTCCCAAGTGCCAAGCATGATGACTTTCACAATGGTAGGTAGGCACTCATTAAACCGTGCCTGTTGTTGTTCTTGTTACTATTATTATTGAATAAGTGGGACAGATGGGTGAACAAACAGTAAGAGAATTGACAATTTGGAGAAACTGCATATACTGCTGTTAAGCATGGTGAATATAACTGTGTCATATTTGCTGTCAAATCTCATCTTAATTTATTGAAGATTTACATTTGTAGGTTTGTTCTCACCCATTAAATATTTGTAAGACTCTTCTCAGAGTCTCCTTGTGATATCCTCCTCCGAAACCATATGCAATATTGTGTGATTTTGTTCCTTCATTTTTATAAAAATCTGTGTCATAGGCATTTAAAGAGTCTATACTCTCCCTGGCTGATATCCACTTTAGCAGCTTCTACTGCATCTGTGTGACTAACTCCTAAAGTGAGGCAGACTGAACACCCCCATGAAACTCAATCTCTTGTCCCTCCCAACTGCCGCAAATGATTCCCTTGCCAACATACCCTATTATAATTATGGTATTACCAGCCACTAGTTTCAAGAAGCTGTGGCTTTTAAGTCACCCAGAACTCCTTCCTTTCTTTACTCCTAATTTTGGAGTCAGTGAATTCATTGCATTCTATGTCGTAAGTTATTTCTAAATTGATGTCTCTGTCTTCCCTTAGAGAAGGCCATCATCTTTACCTGAACTCTTGACACGGCCGCTACTCGTTCCAGTCCATTCTTGCACCACTCCTAGAGTGTTACTCCTCCCTCCGAATCTAATTATGTCATCCCCTAGACCAAGTCCTGGTGACTTTTCAGATCAATTAAAACTCATTTAGCCCTGGCCAGTTTGGCTCAGCAGTTAGAGCGTCAGCCTGCAGACCAATGAGTCTCCCATTCCGGTCAAGGGCATGTACCTCCATTGCGGTTCGTCCCTGCCCCTGGTTGGGGTCGTTCAGCAAGAAGCAGCCGGTAGATGTGTCTCTCACATCGATGTTTCTCGCTCTCTCCCTCTCCCTCCCTCCCTCCCACTCTATCTGAAGATAAATTGAAAAAGATGCTCGGGTGAGGATTTACTTTGTTTTTTTTTTTTTTGGTTGTTGTTGTTTTTAGAGAGAAAGGAAGGGAGAGGGAGAGAGAGATAGAAACATTGATGAGAGAGAACATTGATTGGCTGCCTCCTGCATGCCCCCCACTGGGGATCTGGCCCACAACCTGGGCATGTGCCCTGCCCGGGAATTAAACTGGTGACTTCTTGGTGCATGGGTCAATGCTCAACCACTGAGCCACAAGGGCCAGGCCTCGGGTGAGGATTAAAACAAAACAAAACAAAACAAAACAAAACAAAACAAAACAAAACAAAACAAAACTCATTTATATGATATACAAAAGACTTCACAGTCCTGAACCTACCCACATCATAGGAATTCAAACATACCAAGTCCTTCATGATGCGCCCCTCAATCTTCAAAACGCAATCTATTATTTTCTCTGTCTTGACTCTGGCAGAATTGGTTTTTCTTTTCCCTACTTTCCAGAGCACCCACTTCATATCTATATTGTAGCACTTATTGTTTCTATAATTATGTTGTTTTTTTCTTTATTGGTTTTAGAGAAAGAGGAAAGAAGAGGGAGAGATAGAAACATCGATGAGACAGAACATCCACTGGCCGCCTCCTGCATGCCCCCCACTGGGGACTTGGCGCACAACCTGGGTATGTGCCCTGACCAGGAATCGAACCAACGGCCTCTTGGTGCATGGGTCGATGCTCAACCACTGAGCCACACCGGCCGGGCTATGATTACGTTTTTATATTGCTTTGCTCTATAACAACTCTCTAAAACAATGAGCTATTTAAGCTAATTGCAATGAGCTAATTCTGCTCTGTTATTTTTTATCCCTGGAGATTAGCACATTGCTTATTTCATTGAATAATGAAAATGCTGAAATGTGTCGAATGCTTACGATGTGCCAGCACTGTCATCCCATTAAATCTTTGCTGCCCTTTGAGGTAACTTGGTGAGCATTTGCTTTTTGCCTCTTTAGCTTCTGAACTCCCATCCTATTTGTGGAGAATTCTTATTTTGAGTCTTAGTGGGAGCAGGGCCCACCTCACACTTTGGCAAGTGAGTTTGGGCAAAGTCCTTCTCCCCACTATCTGGCAACTAGGGGTAAAGAAATTGAATGCTCTCACCTGAAACTTGGAATCTGGACAAATGATACAAAGATGCAGAGCTAGAGATAGAGACAATTCACTGTGTGGTGGATAATTGTAGCAACCAGGGTCTGGTTGTGACAATGCCAACAGCGACATTCTAAATGATGGCCCTGCACATTTTACACACCTTGTTCTCCACCATCCTCAGTGATTCTGTGAGCTACATGACTTTTTGCCAATGCATTCTTTTTCTGGATAAGTTAGCCAGAGTTTGTTTCTGTTATCTTCAATCAAGAGCACCAGTTGATACGGAAAAGTTCTATCATTATTTCCATTTTACAAAGAGGAATGAGTAGGTGCTCAAGTGAATATTCACATTATAACTTCTAAAAGAAGTTTTGATCATTGCCTCAGTTATTAGCAAGTTGGCACTAATGGTAATCATCTGGAATT